CTACTAGGTTGGAGGCCATCGCTCTTAGGTTGGAGGCCATCGCTCTTAGGTTGGAGGCCGTCGCTACTAGGTTGGAGGCCATCGCTCTTAGGTTGGAGTGCTCGCTTGGTGCTTCAATTTCATTCCCCATCTCTTGGTCAGAGCATTACATATGTCACACCATCAGACCTTCACCTGCACAATCTCGGGAGCTTCCAGCGCCTGGTGGGGCACTGCGCAGAAATTGTCAGTTGCTTGCTTCTTTTCTTTGGGGGCGTTCTTCCTTTCGACTGTTTTGTCTGATCGTTTTCTCAAAATTTCTGGACTTTCGTCGCTTGTCTGCTTGTTACTAGGCAAGGCTTAGCAAAGTACTGCTCCCTAATGAGAGGTTGTCAAGTTAAAGCTTTCCTGTGCATCCCCCCCAAAAGGCACTCTCGTCAAAGAGCCTGCGACTTGGAACGTTGCAGATGTCGAGCAATGGCCTCTCTCTCCTGCGGAAATACTGTACTTGGCTTCGGTGCAGTTGAAATCGAGAGCTGGTGGGTCGAGTGTGTATAGCAGAAGTGAATCAAGATTGATGCTTTGAAGTCTACCTCCGACCTGAATACTCACTCCTCCCAATGCCTCACACTCTGAGCTTCGGGCACGTGCTGGCAGTCCTTTGCAGGAAACCGAGTGCCTCATGTTAACTGGATGCCCACACATCAATATGATGAACAGTGATGGATGAACTATCCATGGACACAAGTGAAGCACACTGATGGCATCTTGCAATCTCACATTGGCTCGAGCCATCCTACCCTGATGAAACTCTACTAGAATTTGTGATCAAAACCTTTGCATGATGTTGTGCGCATGATGTTTTGATGAGCAGCTTCAGAAAGAACCAGGTCAACAAGAGTACGAACAATGAACATTCAATGTGTACCAAGAGTCAAGCCCAGTTGTGAAAATCCAAACCCAAAGAGTTGTCTGTCAGCTCCAACCTGAGAACCCCTCCTTATTTCAATGCGTACCCATGCGGATGAAGCACTTTGAGCCCCAACTAAAAGCCTTGAAAGCCTCGGCGAACTTAGTTCCCCGGCTTCCGTGATGAGGAGTGCTCCCGAGCAGAAAGGCTTCGCCTGGTCCTCCGATCGTCGGGGCTTATGGTCACGTGAAGTGGCTGCGGCATCCAAGCTTGAGCAGGGTGCCAGGTATGTTTGAAACAGGTACATTGCTTATCATGCCACATGTATTGTTATGTAGTGTAGATGTTGTTTTTATCGGCATAACTTAACTAACATCATAGACCACAGTGACTACAACTGGCTTTTCAGAATCCTTGCATCTCTGTACTCGTGCCTGGAAGTCCGTAGCTGAGGCCCCAAAGGCACCTAGCCAGTGCAAGGAAGATGCTGGGAAACTGAGGTCATTTGTGTCAATGATGTCTTCCAATATCTCCAGTGTTATGCACAGTTATTGAGAGGCCCGGCTTGAAAATTCACTCACCAATAATGGCCTTGATGAATCTGTGATGGACAATTCTTGATCGGTTTGGGCTGCTCACTCAAGCTTCTGAACATCACTTTATTCCAAGCTTCAGCTAGGGTCTATGGCCAGGCAAACATGCTTACAGCTGGGCGTTCCAGCAATGGGTAACACAGAAAAGAACCTTCTAAGGGATGAATTTCTGCCAGAAGAATACCTGGCTCACAGAACATACTGCATTGGTCCTGCCAATTCAAACAATCAAGCTCCTGAAGCCGCCCATCTGGGACACCCAAACCGTCAGCTCTCGCGTCCACTTCACAAACCTTGGCTGCAACAAGTCATGCGGGAAAATGGATGAACAAGGACAAACACTTGTCACTTGCCAAGCAGTGCCAAGATTGAGATGTACCCAAATGTATCCAGGCAGGTTCCGGCAATGGGCTCAGATCTGTATTTCTGGACCTCCACAGCTACCATCAGCTACCACTCTGAGAGAGGCACATCTCAGGCCTGAGAGACTTGCTCCATTTCTCGTTGATGGACGAGCAATCCTCGAGTGGAAAAATGAGGCCAGCGAAGATGCGGAACATGACGTGCTGGAGCTCAAAAGGCTGGTGTTCGATGTGTTAGGAGCCTTTGGAAATCTGCGCCATCAACCTGCAGAGCCTACCATGGCAGAAGAGAAGCACCAGGGCTATATTTGCAGGAGAAAGGAAGAATTGGGGATGAGAACACTATGTCTGTGTCTTCAAGCCAATCAGCAGATTCTTGGCTATCTGAATCTGTGGACTCCTTCTCCAACCCGAAAAATTGTGTGGATTGGTATGCTTTCTTGTCTTAGGTGGTGAGACGCACCCGATCGTGCAGTCCTCCTGCTTCGGATAACCTGCCGGAGCAAGGTTGGATGAGAAATGCACGAATAAAAATTCTGACTCTGTCTGTGTGTGTGAAGTGAAGGAGGTTGTATGTCCTCAAGCGCTCTGCTTGTGGTATTTCGTAACTAGCCATGTTGCACTTGAATACATATGCTAGGGTGTAGCAATGTGTTGCCATGCCTGCCAGGAGACATCATTCATAGATGTCTCCAGTTTTCAACAGAACGATCCTGAAGCTCTGTCGGCTGAGCTCTCCTTTCTGTCTCGCGTCTTACACGTGTCCCGCATCAACGGATTTGCGGCAAAACCAGCAGCCTGGGATTGCAAGTGCAGAGTTTAGCAACCCAATGGAAAAGAGGAATCGACGCACAGTCTCATACATTATCGCTTTTGGCGCGTCTAAAGCAACATTATATGTTCCACTGAATGACACAACAAAAGTATGCTGTTTAGCTTCATCATACATGCTCATGCATACACCATAAACATAAAAGCTGAGGGGTCTGAGAATAGGGAATGTTTTTGACAGGGGCAGCACTTTGCGGGAGGTGGAGGTAGCCCAGTAGCCCAATCTATTTGAACTCAATCTCCCCCGTTCAATCAAACCTGCCATTCCCGAGCCAAGGCACTCCGCACACGGCGCATGCTTAGAGGCGGGAACCAAAAGCCTTGGAGAGAATCCTTTTGCGTCCAAATCTGCCCTTGCCGGACGACACCCTCACTGGCTGGACTGGGCAAGACCGAAATCCTAATAGCAATGGCCTCCAACCTAATAGCATGCAAATGGCATATGAGGGCACCAAGAAACATTCCCCCAAGGTTCCCGGCTTTTTGCATGATGTCAACGGCCAGCGAGCACATGGAATCAGCCGCTTCTGCTTGCTTTTGAACCTTCAAGGAGGTATCAGTCTGGACAGTCGGAGAAGTTGTTCAACACACGTCAAGTGACGAAGGAATTCTTTGAACAAATGAATGTCAAGTCTCGTTTGCAAAGACAAGCTGACGTGTTCTTTCCAAACAGAAGGGAATCTCAGCGGCCAGCATTGCCACTGCCATCGCTAGCAGATCCTCTGGACGTCCTGGGAAATCTCAACCCATGGAAAACGTTGTGGCAAGAGATCGGAACACAAAGGCAGCTGCAACTGTCACAAACATGACCTAACCGTGTAACTGCAAGTCAAAGTGCTCAAAAGATTGTCCAAAAGATTCATCGACAGAACCTAGCTGTGTCAGATTGTCTCAAAGGCGAAAAAAACCTAGCGTATCGTATCTTGCTCATCAACCATGCTAAGAAGGAAGGAATCCTGAGAAACTGTCAAAATCTGTCAGCACTGTTGTCAAAGCGACTGCAACAACATCAGGTCCTCATCGCGACACCTTGGATGATGACCTCGAGAGAGTTTTGAGGTGAAGTAAATTGAAAAAATATCAAATGAAAATCTAGTCTGTCAATTTGATTGGCTCGAGTCATGCGAGTATCAGTGAGAAGTACTCTGTGTGCATGCTTCCCACATGTAGGTCTAAGGATTCCCTCGGTTGTCGTGGTCATCCAGGATGTGCACTTAACGAGCAAATCAAGATCCTCTTGAAAACCTATCAAAAAGTACTCAGGGTAAGGCATCTGGAGACGCTTTGGGAAATACAGTGCAGTGGACAGTGCAGTACTTCACTCTCCAGATCCGTGTCTATGAGTGAAACATGCACAGAGCCTTGCCGGATCATCGATGGGTCCAATGGGTCATCAATTCCCCCAGTCCAAGGGGCTGCAAGTCTGAAGCATGCAAAGGCCACGTAGAAGCTCCAATGGTCAATGGGATACTTCACCTCAGCATAATTTTGCGTGCATGAGGTGCCTGAACTGAAATCAATCTGTGTGAAAATAGTTGGTGTCTAATACATTGTTTAACGAAACAGTAGCCTGAGATGCTAGTTTGTTACCCTTCCATAGTAAGGAAGCTTGACCTGTGTGACCTGTCGACATGTTTATTGCACAGATTCCTCTGTCGAACGAGACGAGGCCGGAACGCCTGAGGCCTGGCAATAGGCTTGCAGCACCTCGATGAGGCGTCAGGTCCGAATTCCAGGCAACCAATAGCCAACCACAAACGGCATGTCCAGACACTATAGCCAACCACTCAAGATTGAATGTCTTTCCAATCCTCACCATAGCGTTCAGGGAAGAAGCACATGTTTGTGCCTGATGAAGCCTGGCCTGGTGTTTCAAGAGCTGAAACACACCCTTCTAAAGTCCAAAAGGTTGTACATAGCCTTTACCCTGGAAGCACCAACCATAAATTTGGTCCATGCATGCTGGTAAGCACTCTGGGCAATATTCCCACTAAACAGTCGGATTTGGTGATAAGTCGGGGTCTCGGATTTCGTCTGTATAAGTATTTGCGTGATTGTGCACACCCATATGTATATATATATATATATACTGCACATAGAGATATAGCTTTCATGAAATGCCCTCAGGTCTGGTAAACACTCCAGCGAATTCTTGTGAAAGAAGGAAGCAGCTGAAAAGAGAAATGGACAATGCTCAAATTTCCCGCGTTACCCTTGTCAACACTCTCAGCCCACCCGGTGGCCACCCACTCAGCCTCCTCCTCCGAAATCCCACTCTCTCCACCCAGTTGTGGGTAGTCCACCTTGGCAGTGTTGCTAGTGGTCGGCGACTGGAGCCCCTTTTCAGGATTGGCATGCCGTGTGATGGCCTTCACCGTCAACCAACTGTCTACGCTTCTGTAAAGTTGCAAACCGCTGTGCAACAAATGCCAAGGCTCAACGAATTGAAAGGCAAAGAAAGAATTTGGAACGACTGGGGGCTCCCAACTGATAGAAGAGGGCGTTTTTCACAAAACATGACGCATGTGATGACATCAACAAAAAGGCCTTCTGCAAATCCGTTGACCTTTTCTAAAGCATCATACGTGAAACGAAAAAGCCTGGACGCCTCAAGGCAGTACCTCAAGGCCCTTTTTGGGCTCCCACCACTTTGCCGAAATCGCCCAAGTGGTAAGGCAAGCAAAGGTTTGCTAAATCCTGAGCTGACTCTTGGCACATGGATGAAGCTTGGTTCAAACAAAAAGGGGTCCCTTTTCGCCCCAAGGCACATTTGGAACTCTCCAGGGTCCAATTGGCACCGAATTCTGAGCTCCTCACGCTCATTGGGTGTCCGATAGTGCTCAGCTCCCAGTCCACTACTGCCTGCAATGCTGTCCAATTTGTCCACGAATCGAGTAAAGGGTCCTTAAGGGTCTCAACTAGAGGTACTTTGACCTCAATCTGTGCATCCTCCCAAAAAAAGCGTCCCTGTGGCGTCAAACTTTGCCAAGGGCACCATGACTCGGGGTGGAGACTCCAGCGAGAGGATGAGATTGTCAGGTTTCCAGTCACCATGGATAACACATGACCTGAGTTTCGGCGTTGCAGAGGAAACACTCTCGAAAGCGCAGGACAGGACAGGACAGGAAATGGGTTGATCAAGTATGACCATTCTTGCTTCACGTAGACATTGCTTGGGGGTAGATCTGCCGTTTCATCCAGATTCTATATATTGAAACCAAAAGTAGATTTGATAATGTGCACCGTTTGTTTTGCGCATCATGGCTTGAAGCTGCTCTGCAATCTTGCATGGGCTCCAGGCATGTCGGGCGGCATGTTCTGCTTGAAAAGCCTGCGCGTAATAATAAGGCATTGCAGATTTGAAGGAGATATCATCAATCACTTTTGAGTCTGAAAGTTATGGAACCCAGGCCCCCTTTTGAAATAGAGGTACGGGGTACAACGTGAACTCTAAAGGCCTTCGACCCATCGACGGCCAGCGAAATCATGGACGGCCCCCCCGTCGTACCTAAGCAGCTCGGGCATCTGCTTCATGGCCGGCACCTGACCCTCAGAGTTGGACACCTGGACGTGGAGTTGGACACACGGAAGACACGGAAGACAAGTAGGGTTCCAGACAGGAACCTTAAGAACCACTTTGGAAGAAATGGGTATCTAAATCTAAATGTGTCTGTCTGTCTGTATGTATGTATGTACGTACGTATGTACGTATGTACGTATGTATGTTTGTATGTTTGTATGTATGTTTGTATGTATGTATGTATGTAATTTTTTCTACGGAGGCTCTTTTGCGACTGCTGAACGAAGGGTCTTATTGACCCTGCTGCCGCCGCTCCAGCCAGAGGTGGTTCTAGAAGAAGTCGACCATCACTGTGTCCTCCTCGTCCTTTGTGTGGTCACTTGTTGTGGCCTCGTCCGGCTGGGTAGGCATCGTAGCGACGTCGGCATTGAGAGTGCCTCGGGCGCGTGATGATCAGCCTATTGTCTTTTTCCGTGAGGACTGCCAAGCCACAGTGTTTGCAAGTGACTTTGGTGCCAAGTTGCCACAAACAATGGGCGGCGTGCCCAATGGCCTCCCCTTTGTAGGCTTCATCGATGCAAGGACTGTTGATGAATTCAGTCCGCGTTGCCTCCTTGGACCTTTTGAGGATGGCACTTCCACAATGCTGGCACTTGATATAGCCCGCTGTCTCAATGACATGGTGTTGGCCAGCGGTGCGCTCAGGTGGTTGGTTTTGGAGCAACTCCTGGATGAGCTGGGTTCTGGTGGCCTTCTTTGGGATCTTGGCCTCAAGCTGGTCTTTGCTGTCTGCGGGCGGGCTGTTGTTGAGCTTGCTCTCGCAGGGTTCATTCAGCTTCTGTTCAATACAATGTCCTGGTGACGCCATCTGTGTTGCCTCGGTTTTCCGGCGCTTGATGGCGCCATCAGTGTCCTGGTTGGGTCTCTTGAGAAGACCGTGCAACTGAGACTTCTGCTCCTCAGTTAGTGAGATTCCTAAGCTGTGCGCAAAGGACTCAACAGCCATTGGAATCTGCTCGGTTTCGGCTGGTTCAGCAAGCGTAGCTGGAGCGGGTGTCTGGTTGACTGCTTTCATGTAATCTTCTGACAGTTTCTGGAGCGTTTTCTGCCCCTTCAGCCAGTTTGCTCTGCAGCTCCTTCATG